TGTGTGTGTGTTACCTGCTGCTGCTGTACTGTTTAAGACTAGATCAGGAGAGAGTGTGTGTGTGTGTGTTTTACCTGCTGCTGCTGTACCGTTTAAGATGGATCAGGAGAGAGTGTGTGTGTTACCTGCTGCTGCTGTACTGTTTAAGATGGATCAGGAGAGTGTGTGTGTGTTACCGTGCTGCCGCTGTACTGCTTAAGATGGATCAGGAGAGTAGAGTGTGTGTGTGTGTTACCTGCCGCTGCTGTACTGCTTAAGATGGATCAGGAGAGAGTGTGTGCGTGTTACCCGCTGCTGCTGTACTGTTAAAGATGGATCAGAGAGTGTGTGTGTGTTACCTTGCCGCTGCTGTACTGTTTAAGATGGATCAGAGAGTGTGTGTGTGTGTTACCTGCTGCTGCTGCGTGTACTGTTTAAGATGGATCAGAGAGTGTGTGTGTGTTACCTGCTGCCGCTGTACTGTTTAAGATGGATCAGGAGAGTGTGTGTGTGTGTTACCTGCTGCTGCTGTACTGTTTACATGGACTGTGAGAGTGTGTGTGTGTGCTCGCCGTGCCGCCGTACTGTTTAAGATGGATCAGGAGAGAGTGTGTGTGTGTGTGTTACCTGCTGCTGTACTGTTTAAGACGGATCAGGAGAGAGGTGTGTGTTACCTGCTGCTGCTGTACTGTTTAAGATGGATCAGGAGAGAGTGTGTGTGTGTGTTACCTGCTGCTGCTGTACTGTTTAAGATGGACTGCAGGAAGCGTGTGTGTGTTACCTGCTGCCGCTGTACTGTTTATGATGGATCAGAGAGTGTGTGTGTGTTACCTGCTGCTGCTGGGCAATTGCTTAAGATGGATCAGGAGAGTGTGTGTGTGTGTTACCTGCTGTGCTGCTAAAATTGTTTAAGATGGATCAGGAGGAGAGTGTGTTACCTGCTGCTGCTAAAATTGCCGCAAGACGGATCAGAGAGAGTGTGTGTGTGTTACCTGCTGCTGCTGTACTGTTTAAGATGGATCAGGAGAGAAGCGTGTGTGTAAGCACCCAAGCGTACTGTTTAAGATGGATCAGGAGAGAGTGTGTGTGTTACCTGCTGCTGCTGCTGTACTGTTTAAGATGGATCAGGAGAGTGTGTGTGTGTGTTACCTGCTGCCGTACTGCTTAAGATGGATCAGAGAGAGTGTGTGTGTGTTACCTGCTGCTGTACTGTTTAAGATGACCAGAGAGAGTGTGTGTGTGTTACCTGCTGCTGTACTGTTTAAGATGGATCAGAGAGAGTGTGCAAGCACCTGCTGCTGCTGTACTGTTTAAGATGGATCAGAGAGTGTGTGTGTGTGTTACCTGCTGCTGTACTGTTTAAGATGGATCAGAGGGAGAGTGTGTTACCTGCTGCTGCTGTACTGTTTAAGATGGATCAGGAGAGAGTGTGTGTGTGTGTTACCCGCTGCTGCTGCTGTACTGTTTAAGATGGATCAGAGAGTGTGTGTGTGTTACCCGCTGCTGCTGTACTGTTTAAGATGGATCAGAGAGAGTGTGTGTGTGTTACCTGCTGTACTGTTTAAGATGGATCAGGAGAGAAGCGTGCGTGTTACCGCTGCTGCTAAAATTGTTAAGATGGATCAGGAGGAGAGGTGTTACCTGCTGATGCTGTACTGTTTAAGATGGATCAGAGAGAGTGTGTGTGTGTGTATACCTGCTGCTGCTGCTGTACTGTTTAAGATGGATCAGGAGAGAGTGTGTGTGTGCTACCTGCTGCTGCTGTACTGTTTAAGATGGATCAGGAGAGAGTGTGTGTGTTACCTGCTGCTGCTGTACTGCTAAGATGGATCAGGAGAGATTGTGTGTGTGTTACCTGCCGCTAAAATTGCTTAAGATGGATCAGGAGAGAGTGTGTGTGTGTTACCTGCTGCTGCCGTACTGTTTAAGATGGATCAGGAGAGAGTGTGCGTGCCGCCCGCCGCCGCCGCTTGTACCGGTTTAAGATGGATCAGAGAGGTGTGTGTGTGTTACCTGCTGCTGCTGTACTGGTTTAAGATGGATCTTAGAGAGAGTGTGTGTGTGTGTGTTACCTGCTGCTGCTGTACTGTTTAAGATGACTCAGGAGAGAGTGTGTGTGTGTTACCTGCTGCCGCTAAGATGGATCAGAGAGAGTGTGTGTAAGCTACCTGCTGCTGCTGTACTGTTTAAGATGGATCAGAGAGTGTGTGTGTGTTACCCGCTGCTGCTGTACTGTTTAAGATGGATCAGGAGGAGAGCGTGTTACCTGCTGCCGCTGTACTGCTTTAAGATGGATCAGGAGAGAGTGTGTGTGTGTGTTACCCGCTGCTGCTGCTGTACCGTTTAAGATGGATCAGGTAGAGTGTGGTGTGTGTTACCTGCTGCCGCTGTACTGTTTAAGATGGATCAGAGAGAGTGTGTGTGTTACCCGCCGTTGCCGTACCGTTTAAGATGGATCAGAGAGAGTGTGTGTGCTGTCCCGCTGCCGCTGTACTGCCGCATGATGGATCCAGAGGAGTGTGTTACCTGCTGATGCTGTACTGTTTAAGATGGATCAGGTAGATGTGTGTGTGTGTTACCCGCTGCTGCTGTACCAGCTCGGCATTTGATCAGAGAGGCGTGCTTACCTGCTGCTGTACTGTTTCTAAGATGGATCAGAGAGAGTGTGTGTGTGTGTTACCTGCTGCTGCTGTACTGTTTAAGATGGATCAGGAGAGAGTGTGTGTGTGTTACCTGCTGCCGCTGTACTGTTTAAGATGGATCAGAGAGAGTGTGTGTGTGTTACCCGCTGCTGCTGTACCGTTTAAGATGGATCAGAGAGAGTGTGTGTGTGTTACCTGCTGCCAGTTGTACTGTTTAAGATGGATCAGAGAGAGTGTGTGTGTGTGTTACCTGCCGCCGCTGTACCGTTTAAGATGGATCAGGAGAGTGTGTGTGTGTGTGTGCTACCCGCCGCTGCTGTACTGTTTAAGATGGACTGGTGAGAGTGTGTGTGTGTGTTACCTGCCGCTGCTGTACTGCCAGCATGGATCAGAGAGTGTGTGTGTGTGTTACCTGCTGCTGCTGTACCGTTTAAGATGGATCAGGAGAGTGTGTGTGTGTGTTACCTGCTGCTGCTGTACTGTTTAAGATGGATCAGAGAGTGTGTGTGTGTGTTACCCGCTGCTGCTAAAATTGTTTGGCGATGCTGATCAGGTGAGAGTGTGTGTGTTACCTGCTGCCGCTGTACTGTTTAAGATGGATCAGGAGGGAGAGTGTGTGTGTGTTACCTGCTGCTGCTGTACTGTTTAAGATGGATCAGGAGGGAGTGTGTGTGTGTTACCTGCTGCTGCTGTACTGTTTAAGATGGATCAGGAGGGAGAGTGTGTGTGTGTGTTACCCAAGCCGCTGCTGTACTGTTTAAGATGCATCAGAGAGTGTGTGTGTGTTACCCGCTGCTGCTGTACTGTTTAAGATGGACCGTGAGAGAGTGTGTGTGTGTGTTACCTGCTGCTGCTGTACTGTTTAAGATGGATCAGGAGTGAGAGTGTGTGTGTTACCTGCTGCTGCTGTACTGTTTAAGATGGATCAGGAGGAGAGTGTGTGTGTGTGTTACCCGCTGCTGCTGTACTGTTTAAGATGGATCAGAGGGAGAGTGTGTGTGTGTTACCTGCTGCTGTACTGTTTAAGATGGATCAGAGAGTGTGTGTGTGTGTGTTAACCTGCCGCTGCTGTACTGTTTAAGATGGATCAGGAGAGTGTGTGTGTGTGTTACCTGCTGGGCTGCTGTACCTTCTGTTTAAGATGGATCAGGAGAGTGTGTGTGTGTGCCACCTGCTGCTGCTGTACTGTTTAAGATGGATCAGGAGAGTGTGTGTGTGTGTTACCCGCTGCTGCTGTACTGTTAAGATGGACTGTGAGAGTGTGTGTGTGTGTTACCTGCCGCTGCTGTACTGTTTAAGATGGATCAGAGAGAGTGTGTGTGTTACCTGCCGCTGCTGTACTGTTTAAGATGGATCAGGGAGGGAGAGTGCGTGTGTTGCTGCCGCTGTACTGCCGGCATATTCGTGAGGGAGTGTGTGTGTGTTACCTGCTGCTGCTGTACTGTTTGGAAGATGGATCAGAGGGAGAGTGTGTGTGTGTTACCCAAGCTGCTGCTGTACTGTTTAAGATGCATCAGTAGAGAGAGTGTGTGTGTGTTACCCGCTGCTGCTGTACTGTTTAAGATGGATCAGGAGAGAGTGTGTGTGTGTGTTACCGCTGCTGTACTGTTTAAGATGGATCAGAGGGAGAGTGTGTGTGTTACCTGCTGCTGCTGTACTGTTTAAGATGGATCAGGAGGGAGAGGTGTGTGTGTGTGTTACCTGCTGCTGCTGTACTGCTTAAGATGGACTGTGAGGAGAGTGTGTGTGTTACCTGCTGCTGCTGTACTGTTTAAGATGCATCAGAGAGAGTGTGTGTGTGTTACCTGCTGCTGCTGTACTGTTTAAGATGGATCAGGAGAGAGTGTGTGTGTGTTACCTGCTGCTGTACTGTTTAAGATGGATCAGGAGAGTGTGTGTGTGTGTTAACTCCTGCTGCTGCTGTACTGTTTAAGATGGATCAGGAGGAGAGTGTAAGTACCTGCCGGGCTGCTGTACTGTTTAAGATGGATCAGAGAGAGTGTGTGTGTGTGTTACCTGCCGCTGCTGCCAAATGCCGGAAGATGGATCAGGAGAGAGTGTGTGTGTGTTACCCGCTGCTGCTGTACTGTTTAAGATGGATCAGGAGAGAGTGTGTGTGTGTTACCTGCTGCTGCTGTACTGTTTAAGATGGATCAGGAGAGAGTGTGTGTGTGTGTTACCTGCTGCTGCTGTACTGCTGTTTAAGATGGATCAGGAGAGAGTGTGTGTGTGTGCTACCTGCTGCTGCTGTACTGTTTAAGATGGATCAGAGAGAAAGTGTGTGTGTGTTACCTGCTGCTGCTGTACCGTTAAGATGGACCAGGAGAGTGTGTGTGTGTTAGGGTACCTGCTGCTGCTGACTGTTTAAGATGTACAGATGGTGGTACTCCTTGAGGGTCTGGAAGGTTGAGGTCACCAATATGGATGTGGTCTGCTCTGAAACCCAAGTCCACATTAATCAACACAACACTGTCAGCTGTTTAACCCATCTTAAGTAAGGTTTTATATCACAAGTTTCTAAAGTCATCTCAGGTCTTCACTTCTGACTTTTCCAGGATTTTCATAACTGTGAGAAACCTGAGAAGTTATAGGATTAATATTTGCTTTAAATATTTTTTAAAGTTTTTATATAAAAATCAGTTCAAGAAGTTGTTCACGTAGTACAGCAGAGCAGTTTACAGCAGAGCAGTAGCAGCTTACAGCAGAAGCTACAGAGAGCAGCTACAGAGAGCAGCTTACAGTATAGCATTACAGAGCAGCTTACAGAGCAGTACAGCAGAGCAGTTACAGTAAGCAGCCAGTAGAGCAGCCACAGTGAGCAGTTTATAGCAGAGCAGCTTACAGCAGAGCAGCATAGTACAGCAGTATAGACAGCCTACAGAGCAGCCAATAGAGCAGCCCAGAGCAGCTCACAGAGCAGCTCACAGTAGAGCAGAACAGTAGAGCAGCTTACAGAGAGCAGCAGAGCAGTACAGCAGAGAGCTACAGAGCAGCTACAGCAGAGCAGACAGTAAGCAGCACAGTAGAGCAGCCTCATAGAGCAACAAGAGAGCAGCCAAGTAGAGCAGCCATAGAGAGCAGCAGTAGGAGCAGAGCAGCCTACAGCAGAGCAGCCTACAGCAGAGCAGCCACAGTAGAGCAGCCACAGAGAGCCTACAGAGAGTACAGACAGCACAGCAGAGCAGCCTACAGAGAGCAGCCTACAGCAGAGCAGCCACAGAGCAGCCACAGAGCACCAAGAGCAACAGCAGAGCAGCACAAGCAGCAGCCACAGAGCAGAGACAAAAGAGCAGCACAGCAGAGCAGCTGAGAGCAGCCAGAGAGCAGAGCACTAGAGCAAACCCAGTAGAGCAAACCCACAGTAGACACAACACCACAGTAGAGCAGCCCACAGCAGAGCAGCATACAGCAGAGCAGCCTACAGCAGAGCAGCCTACAGCAGAGCAGCCTGCAACAGCCACAGAGCAAGCCTACTGCAGACAGCCCACAGCAGAGCAGCCCATCAGAGCAGAGTTTTACAGCAGAGCAGCCTACAGCAGAGCAGCCTACAGAGCAGCCCACACAGACAGCCCATTGCAGAGCACTACAGCAGAGCAACCTCCAGTAGAGCAGCCCACAGTAGAGCAGCCCAGCAGAGCAGCCACAGTAGAGCAGCCCACAGTAGAGCAGCTTACAGCAGAGCAGCCTACAGCAGAGCTGTCACAGTAGAGCAGTCACAGTAGAGTAGCCTACAGTACCTGAGTTGTGTGAGGGTGGGGCAGACGTATGCGGTGGACGGAGGACACAGTGGCCAGCAGGATGTAGACGTACTGACGAGTCTCATGGACACTCAGCCCCTCCAGCACTGGTGTGTCAGCGAACCTGTTGGGTGACACCACACCTTGATGGTTACCACACCTTGATGGTTACCACACCTTGATGGTTGACACACCTTGATGGTTACCACACCTTGATGGTTGACAAACACTACACCTTGATGGTTGACACATACACCACACCTTGATGGTTACCACACCTTGATGGTTACCACACCTGATGGTTGACACACCTGATGGTTACCACCTTGATGGCTGACACACCTGATGGTTGACACAAACACCACACCTTGATGGTTGAACAAACACTACACCTTGATGGTTACCACACCTGATGGTTGACACAAACACCACACCTGATGGTTACCACACCCTGATGGTTACCACACCTGATGGCTGACACAAACACCACACCTGATGGTTGACACAAACACCACACCTTGATGGTTACCACACCTTGATGCATACTACACCTTGATGGCTGACACAAACACCACACCTTGATGGTTGACATACACCACACCTTGATGGTTACCACACCTTGATGGTTGACACAAACACCACACCTGATGGTTGACACAAACACCACACCTGATGGTTGACATACACCACACCTTGATGGTTACCACACCCTTGATGGTTGACACAAAACACCACACCTGATGGCTGACACAAACACCACACCTTGATGGTTGACACAAACACCACACCTTGATGGCTGACACAAACACCACACCTGATGGCTGACACAAACACCACACCTTGATGGTTACCACACCCTTGATGGTTGACACAAACACCACACCTTGATGGCTGACACAAACACCACAACCTGATGGTTACCACACCTTGATGGTTGACACAAACACCACACCTTGATGGTTGACACAAACACCACACCTTGATGGTTGACACAAACACCACACCTTGATGGTTGACACAAACACCACACCTTGATGGTTGACACAAACACCACACCTTGATGGTTGACACAAACACCACACCTTGATGGTTGACACAAACACCACACCTTGATGGTTGACACAAACACCACACCTTGATGGTTGACACAAACACCACACCTTGATGGTTGACAACACACACCCTGATGGTTGACACAACACCACACCTGATGGTTACCACACCTATGGACCACACCTGATGGTTGACACAAACACCACACCTTATGGTTGACACAAACACCACACCTGATGGCTGACACAAACACCACACCTTGGATGGTTGACACAAACACCACACCTTGATGGCTGACACAAACACCACACCTTGATGGTTGACACATACATTCACACCTTGATGGCTGACAACACCACACCTTGATGCTGACACATACACCACAATCTTGATGGTTGACATGTACCACCACACCTTGATGGTTGACATACACTACCACCTTGATGGCTGACACAAAACACCACACCTTTGATGGCTGATACACACACCACACCTTGATGGTTGACACAAACACCACACCCTTGATGGTTGACACAAACACCACACCTTGGATGGTTGACATACACCACACCTTGATGGTTGACACAAACACTACACCTGATGGTTGACACAAACACCACACCCTGATGGGTTGACACAAACACCACACCTGATGGTTACTACACCTTGATGGTTGACACAAACACCACACCTTGATGGTTGACACAAACACCACACCTGATGTGGCTGACACATACACTACACCTATGGTTGACACAAACACCACACCTTGATGGTTGACACAAACACCACACCCTTGGATGGTTACTACACCTTGATGGTTGACACAAACACCACACCTGATGGCTGGCCACAAACACTACACCTTGATGGTTACCACACCTTGATGGTTGGACACAAACACTACACCTTGATGGAGCGACACAAACACTACACCTTGATGGCCACACAAACACTACACCTTGATGGTTGACACAAACACCACACCTTGATGGTTGACACAAACACCACACCTTGATGGTTGACACACCACAATCTTGATGGTTGACACAAACACCACACCTTGATGGTTGACACAAACACCACACCTGATGGTTGACAAACACCACACCTTGGATGGTTGACACAAACACCACACCTGATGATTGACACAAACACCACACCTTGATGGGTTGACACAAAACACTACACCTTGATGGCTGACACAAACACCACACCTTGATGGTTGACACACAAACACCACACCCTTGATGGTTGACACAAACACCTACACCTTGATGGTTGACACAAACACCACACCTTGATGGTTGACACAAACACCACACCTTGATGGTTGACACATACACCACACCTTGATGGCTGACACAAACACTACACCCTGATGGTTGACACAAACACTGGCTGGTCTTGATGGTTGACACAAACACCACACCTTGATGGTTGACAAAACACACCTGATGGTTGACACATACACCACACCTTACGGTTGACACAACACCACACTTTGATGGCTGATACACAACACTACACCCTTGATGGTTGACACAAACACCACACCTTGATGGTTGACACAAACACCACACCTTGATGGTTGACACAAACACCACACCCTGATGGTTGACACAAACACCACACCTTGATGGTTGACACAAACACCACACCTGGATGGTTGACACAAACACCACACCTTGATGGCTGACACAAACACCACACCTGATGGTTGACAAACACCACCACACCTTGGATGGCTGACATATTGGCTAATTACACCTGATGGTTACCACACCTTGATGGCTGGACACAAACACTACACCTTGATGGTTGACACAAACACCACACCTGATGGCTGACACAAACACCACACCTTGATGGTTGACATAAACACCACACCTTACGGTTGACACAAACACCACACCTGATGGTTACCACACCTTGATGGCTGACACAAACACCACACCTTGATGGTTGACACAAACACTACACCTTGATGGCTGGGACACACACCACACCTTGATGGTTGACATACACCACACCTTGATGGTTGACACAAACACCACACCTTGATGGCTGACACAAACACCACACCTTGATGGCTGACACAAACACCACACCTCGATGGTTGACACACAAACACCACACCTTGATGGTTGACATACACCACACCTTGATGGCTGACACAAACACTACACCTGATGGTTGACACACATTACACCACACCTTGATGGTTGACATAAACACCACACCTTGATGGCTGACAAACACCACACCTTGATGGTTACCACACCTTGATGGTTGACACAAACACCACACCTTGATGGTTGACACAAACACTACACCTGATGGTTACTACACCTGATGGTTGACACAAACACCACACCTTGATGGCTGGGACACAAACACTACACCTTGATGGTTGGGATACAAACACCACACCTGATGGTTGACACAAAACACCACACCTTGATGGCTGACACAATTACACCTTGATGGTTGACACAAACACTTACACCTTTGGATGGCCGACACAAACACCACACCTGATGGCTGACACAAACACCACCTGATGGCTGACACAAACACCACACCTGATGGTTGACACAAAATACCACACCTCAGATGGTTACTTACACCTTGGATGGCTGACACAAACACCACACCCTGATGGTTGACACAAACACCACACCTTGATGGTTGACACACACACTACACCTGATGGTTGACACAAACACCACACCTTGATGGTTACCACACCTGATGGTTGACACAAACACCACACCCTTGATGGCTGACACAAACACCACAATCTTGATGGTTTACACAAAATACTACACCTTGATGGCTGACACATACACTACAATTCTGATGGCTGGACATGTTAATTACACCTTGATGGTTACTACACCTGATGGCTGACACAAACACCACACCTTGATGGGTTACTACACCTTGATGGTTGATACAAAACACCACCTTGATGGTTGACATACACTACACCTTGATGGTTGACACATACACCACCTTGATGGTTACCACACCTTGATGGCTGATGGTTAAACACTACACCTTGATGGCTGACACAAACAATTACACCCTTGATGGTTGACATAAACACCACACCTTGGATGGCTGACACAAACACCACACCTGATGGCTGATACAAACACCACACCTTGATGGTTGACACAAACACTTACACCTTGATGGTTACCACACCTGATGGTTGGACACAAACACCACACCTTGATGGTTGACACAAACACCACACCTGATGGTTGACACATACACCACACCTGATGGTTGACACAAACACCACACCTTGATGGTTACCACCTTACGGTTGACACAACACCACACCTGATGGTTACCACACCCTTGATGGCTGACACAACACCACACCTGATGGCTGACACATACCACACCTGATGGCTGATACATACACCACCACACCCTTTGATGGTTACTACACCTGATGGCTGATACAAACACCACACCTTGATGGTTGACAAACACCACACCTGATGGCTGACACAAACACCACACCTTTGATGGTTGACACAAACACCACACCTTGATGGTTGTACAAACACCACACCTTGATGGCTGACACAAACACCACACCTGATGGTTGACACAAACACTACACCTTGATGGTTGACACATACACCATTAAATTTGATGGTTGACACAAACACCACACCTTGATGGTTACTACACCTTGATGGTTGACACAAACACCACACCTTGATGGTTGACATTAAACACTACACCTTGATGGTTACTACACCTTGGATGGCTGACACAAAATAACTACACCTTGATGGCTGACACAAACACCACACCTTGATGGTTACTACACCTTGGATGGTTGACACAAACACCACACCTTGATGGTTGACACAAACACCACACCTTGATGGTTGACACATACACCACACCTTGATGCTGCTGACACAAACACCACACCTTGGATGGTTGACACAAATACCCACACCTTGATGGTTGACACAAACACCACACACCTTGATGGTTGACATACACCAATCTTGATGGTTGACACAAAACACCACACCTTGATGGTTACCACACCTGATGCTGACACAAACACCACACCTGATGGCTACAAAACACTACACCTTTGATGGTTGACACAAACACCACACCTGATGGTTGACACAAACACCACACCTTGATGGTTGACACACCTGATGGTTGACACAAACACCACACCTGATGGCTGACACAAACACCACACCTTGATGGTTGACACAAACACCACACCTTTATGCTGACACAAACACCACACCTGATGGTTGACATAAACACCACACCTTGATGGTTGACACAAACACCACACCTTGATGGTTGACACAAACACCACACCTTTGATGGCTGGGACACAAAACACCACACCTTGATGGGCTTAATACAAACACCACACCTTGATGGTTGACACATACACCACACCTTGATGGTTGACACAAACACCACACCTTTGATGGTTACTTACACCTTGATGGTTGACATAAACACCACACCTTGATGGTTGACACAAATACTACACCTTGATGGCTGACACAACACCACACCTTGATGGTTACCACACCTTGATGGTTACTACACCCTTGATGGCTGACACAAACACCACACTCCTGATGGTTGACATAAACACCACACCTTGATGGTTGATACAAACACCACACCTTGATGGTTACCACCTGATGGCTGGGATACAAACACCACACCTTGATGGTTGACACAAACACCACACCTGATGGTTGACACAAACATCACACCTGATGGTTGACATACACCACAATTCCTTGATGGTTGACACAAACACCACACCTTTGATGGTTACCACACCTGATGGTTGACACAAACACCATACCTTGATGGTTGACACAAACACCACACCTTGATGGTTGACATAAACACCACACCTTGATGGCTGACACAAACACCACACCTGATGGTTGACACATATACAATTGCTGAATCTTCGGATGGCTGACACAAACACCACACCTTGATGGTTGACATACACCACACCTTGATGGTTACCACACCCTGATGGTTGACACAAACACCACACCTGATGGTTGCTGACACAAACACCAATCTTGATGGTTGTCAAACACCACACCTTGATGGTTGACATAAGCACCACACCTTTGATGGCTGATACAAACACCATGTCTGATGGTTACCACCTTGATGGGTTACTACACTTTGATGGTTACTACACCTGATGGTTGAGCACAAACACCACACCTGATGGCTGACACAAACACCACACCTGATGGTTGACATAAACACCACACCCTTGATGGTTGACATATACACCACACCTTGATGGGTTGACACAAACACCACACCTTGATGGTTGACATACACCACACCTTTGATGGTTAAATACACCTGATGGTTGACACAAACACTAATAATCTTTGATGGTTGACACAAACACCACACCTTGATGGTTGACACAAACACCACACACCTTTGATGGTTGACACATACACCACACCTTGATGGTTGATACATACACCACAATCTTGATGGCTGACACATACACCACCTTGATGGTTGACACAAACACTACACCTTGGATGGTTACTACACCTTGACATGATACAAACACCACACCTTCGATGGTTGACACAAACACCACACCTTGATGGTTGACACAAAACACCACCTTGATGGGTTGACACATACACCACACCTTGATGGTTGACACAACACTACACCTTGATGGTTACTGCTACACCTCGATGGTTACTACACCTTGATGGTTGACACAAACACCACACCTGATGGTTGACACAAACATCACACCTTGATGGGTTGACACAAAACACCACCTTGATGGTTGACACATACACAATCTTTGCTGAATTTGATGGTTGACACACAAACACCACACCTTGATGGCTGATACATGACACCACACTCCTTTGATGGTTACCGGGCACCTGATGGGTTGGGATACAAACACCACACCTTGATGGCTGACACAAACACCACACCTTGATGGCTGACACAAACACCACACCCTTGGATGGTTGACACACACACCAGAATTCCTGGATGGTTGACACATACACCACACCTGATGGCTGACACATACAATCACACCTTGATGGCTGACACAAACACCACACCTTGATGGGTTACCATACCCTGATGGTTGGACACAAACACCACACCTGATGGTTGACACAAACACTCACACCTTGGATGGTTGACACAAACACTACACCTTGATGGTTGACAAACACCACACCTTGATGGCTGACACAAACACCTCACACCCTTGATGTGTCACTACACCTGATGGGTTGACACAAACACCACACCTTGATGGCTGACACATACACTACACCTGATGGTTGACACAACACCACACCTTGATGGCTGACACAACACTACACCTTGATGGTTGATACACATACACTACACCCTTGATGGTTCGCCTACACCTGATGGTTACCACACCTTGATGGTTTACTACACCTGATGGTTAATACACCTGATGGTTACCACACCTTGATGGTTACCACACCTGATGGTTACCATACACTTTGATGGTTGACACATACACCACACCTGATGGTTGACACAAACACCACTAATCTTGATGGTTGACACATACACCACACCTTGATGGCGAAGGCCAAACACCACCTGATGGTTGACACACAAACACCACACCTTGATGGTTACCACACCTTGATGGTTGACACAAACACTACACCTTGATGGTTGACACAAACACTACACCTTGATGGCTGACATACACCACACCTTGATGGCTGACAATACAAACACCACACCTTGATGGTTACCACACCTTGATGGTTGACACAAACACCACACCTTGATGGCTGACACATACACCACACCTGGATGGCTGACACAAACACCACACCCTGATGGTTGACACATACACCGCCAATCTTGATGCATGGGATACAAACACCACACCTGATGGCTGACACAAACACCACACCTGATGGCTGACACAAACACCACAATTGATGGTTGACACAAACACCACACCTTTGATGGTTGACACAAACACCACACCTGATGGTTGACACATACACCACCTTGATGGCTGATACAAACACCACACCTTGATGGTTGACAAAACACCACACCTTGGATGGTTGACATACAAACACTACACCTTGATGGTTGAGCTGTACAAACACTGTACCTTGATGGCTGACAAACACTACACCTTGATGGGTTGACAAAACACCACACCTTGATGGCTGACACAAAACACTCACACCTTGATGGTTGACACAAACACCACACCTTGATGGGTTGACACAAACACCACACCTTGATGGTTACTACACCTTGATGGTTACTACACCTTGATGGGTTGACACAAACACTACACCTGATGGCTACACAAACATCCACACCTTGATGGTTGACATAAACACCACACCTTGATGGTTGACACACCTGATGGTTACCACACCTTGATGGTTGACACAAACACTACACCTTGATGGTTACTACACTTCCTGATGTTGTTTCACACCTGATGGCTGATTACACTTGATGGTTACCACCTTGATGGTTGGCCATGTACCACACCTTGATGGTTGACATGCCACTCACACCTTGATGGTTGACACAAACACTACACCTTGATGGTTGATACAAATACTACACCTTGATGGTTGATACAAACACCACACCTTGATGGTTGACATAAACACCACACCTGATGGCTGACACAAACACCACACCTTGATGGTTGACACAAACACCACACCTGATGGTTTAGGGATACACATACACCACACCTTGATGGTTACCACACCTTGATGGTTACCACACCTTGATGGTTGACACAAACACCATCACCTTGATGGTTGACAAAACATACTATTACAGTTTGTCTTTTTAGTTCACTTTGTTACTACAATGTAGACCAAGATATTTTTATTGTCCACATTTATGGTACAGTACAAATATTTTTTATGACCGAGTAAACTTGCAGACAGATCTTATTAATGTGGTATAGCCATAAATATCCTTCAGTAATGACAGCCAAATATGAGGTCAAGTGAACATTTTTGGCCAGCCTCCACCTTTGATAAGACCAAGTTACAACAAGTTATTCTGCCAAGTATCCAACAAGTCTCTATGACTCAGCGTTAAACAATAACTAACTCAATCTAAGTTCATCAAACCTAATAACAGGAGGTAAAAATTAGTAAAGCATTTTTTTAGAACAATAATTATGTTCATAGGTTTTTATCTGATACATTCAGCAGTGATTTTTTTGTGCTGCAAAATTAGTGAAATGTATCTTACCCTAACATAAACTAATGTTACACTACCTAACCTAACCTAACCTAAGAGAGCCACAACGCACATGACAAACAATTAAGTTCTCTAGAAAAAATTCAATTTCTTTTTATAAAATGCATTTGCAGAGTTAACTAACTTTTATAATAATTTCTCCAACATATGTATAAATCTGTTGATATATAAACGTAACTTGGGATGACACTATTATGGCTTTTAACCTTTGGTTATATCTGTGAATGATCATAGGAAAGGTTAGGTTAGGTTAGTTGTGTACAGTACAGTAGAGTACAGGGAACACAGTACCTTAGCTGTACATGTTAAGGTTAGGTTAATTGTGTACAGTACAGTACAGTACAGTAGGTACAGGGAACACAGTACCTTAGCTGTACATGTTAAGGTTAGGTTAGTTGTGTACAGTACAGTACAGTACAGTACAGTACAGGGAAAACAGTACCTTAGCTGTACATGGTTGTGACAGAAGTCATGGTCAAGACTCTCCTCCCACAGCTCCACCACGTCATGACACACTCTCCTGTTAACAAGATCACAAAATTATAATTATTGACAACATCTAAAAGTTCTCTTTCAATTTCTTTTACTATAGTGTATATGTAGGGTACAGTATATACCTGTATAACTAGCTCTATTCTCTAGGGGCACACACACACACACAAGGTCACCATCAACCACACCAAAACCCTAGTCATGCACATCAATACCGCCACCACTCCAGTGCAAGCCCCAGCAGTCACAGTGGGTGCCCATCCTCTCCAGCTGGTGCAGTCTGCCAAACTCCTGGGTGTAACTATAGGCAACAAACTGGACTGGAAGGCCCATGTAAATAACACAGTCAAGGCAGCCTCGTACCGTCTCTACATGCTCACGACGACTTAGGTCACTTGGGACACCACGCCAGAGCTGAGGACCATCTACAACGTCTTTATTCTCCCCAAACTTACATATGCGTCACCAGCCTGGTCGTCTTCTCTCAACTCCACCCAACAACGTCAGCTAGAAGGTACAGAAAAGGGCCTGCAGAATCATGCCGGCGCCAGAATACTCCCCGGCTACACCAGCTCTCCACCCTGGAAATGCCATCCCTCAGTGACCTCACCACCAAGCACTGAAGTTTGGCAGTGGACTACTGCACCACCTCGTCATCGCCGCCACCTGCAGCCCCACCCAACTCGCGCGCAGTCCGCCACTACAACAAAATTCAGCCCATAAGAGCCTGCACCGATAGATATAAGAACAGCACCATCCATCTATTGTTAAAATAATAAACAACTCCTGATTTATGTACTGTACAGTCCTGTAAATGTATTCAATGCATATTATATCATTATGTCTAAATCAAATGTAAGTCTGTATATTTTCAGCCACCGACTGCAACATTAATAAACCGTTTATTATTATTATTATTATTATTATTATTATTTATTATTATACACACACACACACACACTGCCACGCACACTGCCCGCAGCGCACACACTGCCACACACGCACACACGCCGCACACACACACACACACACACACACACACTGCACACCCGCGTGCACACACCTGCGACGCACACGCCACGCACACGCACACGCCACGCACACACCACACACACACACACACACACACACACACACAATCCGGGCTCTACTACCACCTGAGATCCCTAGTCCGGTGCTGTTGACCCACAACCGCATCCAGCCCATCGTGCACGAACTGATCGCTATAAGAACAGCCCAGTCCCAACCATTGTAAAAATTATCAATAACTTGTAATAAACCAGTGTATTCCTCCCAGTAAATACTACCAATGTCACTATGTTGAAATGAACTGTGAGCTTTTCCCCATCTAGTTATTATATGTCTTATTTGTGTCACTTATGTTACTTGTATATTATTTGCTTTCCCCAAATATGTAACTGTATATTTTCAGCCTTCTGGCTGCCAAGCTCTTTCAATAAACCGTTAATTATTATTACTGTATTTATTTATTATTACACACACATAGTCAGACTCTTACAAAATATTGAGGTCATCTTCAGGGGACAGGAAGTTTACCTGTTACATGCTTGTGTCAGGTGGTGTGTGGCAGCACTGCCAGTCTAGAGTTGCTTGAAACTCTCCATAAAAATCAAGCTACAGTAAAAGTCCAAAAATCCGGATGCCAGAAATGGACACCCGATCGGACTTTTCAAAACCGATTTTTTTTTTAGCGGGCATTTGTGTGCATGGCGCTTCGTGAGCGCCACAGCTGCACAGCGACAACAAGCGACCACGTGGTCGCCACTTTAAAATGGGCAATCAAACTGTGACCATACCGTATATACTAGTCTATAACCCCCTCGTTATCAGTCGACCTGATTTTTTGCAAGTCGTTAATTTATATTCCTCGTTTATAGTTCCACCCACGTTTTTGAGGGTAATGGAACAACAAAACCACTAAAAAGCTCTCGTCTATAAACTGAGGCTTGCCGTGCATGACCACGAAGGCAAATTGTTTACCATTTATTATTACGACACTTTACACTGAAACGCGGGTAGTTTCAACAAAAATATTGTATATTTCCATTCAAGTATTTATTCAAGTCAATTAGGAAATACAACAGTTTTTAAACTAAACCATTCAGCGATTACGGTAACATCTTTTGACGAAAGCGAAAGTCATTGTTTTCGTCATGATTTTATCCACTTTCCACTGTAATACGTATGTAATTTCAGGAAAATATTACATTTCCGTGAATGTATTATATCAAGCACAGTATGAATAGAATATCATTGTAATATATCAAATTTTAACAACTATTAATCAAGCGAGTAACATCTCTTGAACGGAGCTTAGGTAAAGTCTTTTGTTTTCGTCATGTATTTTATCCTATTTTACATTGAAATACGTCACGTTTCCACAAAACTACTATTTATCTCCGAGAATATATTCATTCAGGCGCAGTTTAGGTAAAATAGGCAGTGATGTAATAGTTTTAACTGAAAGCGATTCGAAAAACACGTACCCTCTAGCCCTGTTCAAAGGGGACTGAGGCTGTTTGGTGCTGCAGGCGATGACAAGGAAAATGATTTTGATGGATTTTAATGAAAATATTCAGAAATATGGTATCGTAGTATTTATTCAAGTCAATTAGGATAGAATATTATTGTAATACAACAGTTTTTGACTGAAAACCATTCGGCGATTACGGTAACATCTTTTGAGCGAAAGAAAGCAAAGTCATTGTTTTCATCACGATTTTATCCCCTTTCCACTGTAATAAATCGTTCAGCAAAAATATTACATTTCCGTGAATGCATTATATCAAGCACAGTATGAATAGAATACCATTGTAATATAACAATGTTTTTGAGTCTACTCTTTCCATTTACAGAGTACTGTACAAGCCCATAATAATGGCTCTAAAGTAGATAAACTTCGTTGTGTGAAGAGAAAGAAGAACACATTGAAATTGAGTGACAAACTTCAAATAATTAAACTAGAACGTGGTGTGAGCAATACTGTTCTAATGGAAACATACGACATTGGAAAGTCTACAATTTATGATATATAAAAGGCAAAGAATAAAATTTAGAATTACAGCTTTTCATTAAAACTGCTGCGTTTGATAAATGAAGCATGCTTTATTTGCAAATGAATAAACTATCAAAATGTACCTGTTCATTTCTTCTTTATTCTTCATTAAATTTGAATTTTAAAAGTACTGCCTGAGAATCCGAAAAATCCGAAAATCCGGACCGACCCAATCCCCAAGCAGTCCGGATTTTTGGACTTCTACTGTACCTGTACTGCATGTAATGCCATGAAATTGTGTACACTTCATCACTGATATATCCGTGATCGACACCGGCAGGTTTTGGTCAATTTTTAACTGCCTACATCACGCCCTTAAAATTCACGGGTGTTTGGGCATCAAAATGGCCGTGAATTGACAATTACGAATATCCTTTGCTGACCAATGGGGAGGGTGTACATTTGTGGTATCGTAAAAAAAAAAAAAAAATTTTTTCATTATTTTTTTTTTTAAGTACATACAGGTATTAGTATAACTCGGGAAATACTGAGATACTGTATATAAAATTATCTTGGAAAATCTTGGAATATCTGGCCACCTGCATCGCCTACCATGCCTCTGTGACCTACCATGCCTCTGCTCCTACCATGCCTCTGTGACCTACCATGCCTCTGTGTCACCTACCATGCCTCTGTCACCTACCATGCCTGTCACCTACCATGCCTGTTCACCTACCATGCCTCTGTGTCACCTACCATGCCTCTGTCACCTACCATGCCTCTGTGTCACCTACCATGCCTCTGTGACCTACCATGCCTCTGTGCACCTACCATGCCTCTGTGTCACCTACCATGCCTCTGTTCACCTACCATGCCTCTGTCACCTACCATGCCTCTTCACCTACCATGCCTCTGTCTACCATGCCTCTGTGTCACCTACCATGCCTCATGTCACCTACCATGCCTCTGTGTACCTACCATGCCTCTGTGTCACCTACCATGCCTCTGTGTCACCTACCATGCCTCTGTCACCTACCATGCCTCTGTGTCACCCACCATGCCTCTGTGTCACCTACCATGCCTCTGTCACACCTACCATGCCTCTGTCACCTACCATGCCTCTGTGTCACCCTACCATGCCTCATGTCACCTACCATGCCTCTGTGTCACCTACCATGCCTCTGTGTCACCTACCATGCCTCTGTACCCTCGTGACCTACCATGCCTCTGTCACCTACCATGCCTCTGTCACCTACTATCCTCTGTCTCACCTACCATGCCTCTGTGTCACCTACCATGCCTCTGTCCTACCATGCCTCTGTGTCACCTACCATGCCTCTGTGCCTACCATGCCTCTGTTCCAGCCTCTGTGTCACCTACCATGCCTCTGTCACCACCTTGTCCCTACCATGCCTCTGTGTCACCTACCATGCCTCTGTGCTCACCTACCATGCCCAACCTCTTGTGTCACCTACATGCCTCTGTCACCTACCATGCCTCTGTGTCACCTACATGCCTCTGTGTCACCTACCATGCCTCTGTGTCACCTACCATGCCTCTGTGTCACCTACCATGCCTCTGTGTCACCTACCATGCCTCTGTGTCACCTACCATGCCTCTGTGTCACCTACCATGCCTCTGTGTCACCACCATGCCTCTGTGTCACCTACCATGCCTCTGTGTCACCTACCATGCCTCCTGTGTCACCTACCATGCCTCTGTGTCACCTACCATGCCTCTGTGTCCTACCATGCCTCTGTCTTGTCACCTACCATGCCTCTGTGTCACCACCCTGTGCCTACCATGCCTCTGTGTCACCTACCATGCCTCTGTGTCACCTACCGCCTCTGTGTCACCTACCATGCCTTTGTGTCACCTACCATGCCTCTGTGTCACCTACCATGCTTCACTCTTCACCTACAGTGTTGTAAGTATTACTTATTTTACTTTTAGTCATTACATGTACTGCACATATATGGGTGGATAATTTTTTATTGTTGTATTTTTGTAGGAGGGAGGAAGTGCCTTGATAAGTTGGAACTTGGGACAACTAGGCAAGGCCAGAGCCCCATATGTGCCCAGTTATTGAGGGTTTACTGTATTTAGGTTCATACACTAACAATATTAATATTCCTCCAAATATCCCACACGAGCTACTGAGCTGTAGTATACAGTATTCTCAGCCTCTTGTTTACAGAGAGGTACACTGCTCTACCTAACACTGTTGCCAGCACTCACTGAGGCACTGTTGTTGTCACTACTCAAGAGGGTTGGTGCTTACTACAGGATTTGTCTTGAACACTTACTAAATATTATTGTAGCATATTTAACACAACTAAATAAATATTATTGTAGTGTATAATATCTCCATATACCCAGGTTTATTCACTGATCAGTTGTCTAAGTCCAGAATTAGCCAAATCGAGTCATCATGTATCAATTATTTATATAATGCAAATTAAAATGTTATACGACAATGGTTTAGTAGTGCTGTTAATGTTTGGGCTGTGTAAGTGTCTTGGCATGTCACCCCCACCAAAGTTACATTTATTTATTACAGTATTATTTACTTTATTATTGATGTGTTATTCTTAGTTGGCTAAATGCACTAGATTATTGTTTGAAGTTCTCCTATATTTCTTACGTTACGTTATGTTTTGCTAAGCCAATTCTGTTACTTTAATCTTAATCATTCACAATTTGTAATTCTTGTTTATTGTGTTTATTACAGATCTATGGATACTGATGTTGCATTAAGTTGAACAAAACCTCCCAATGCTTACCTTCATTTTCATAACAATTACCAGTATTGCTGTGTGTACATCTAGAAAACACTTATGTTTGCAAAGTAATAATACAGATTATTTTATGTGGCAGCCAAGGCAAGGTGCAAAAACTGAACAGAAAACAACGAATAATAAAACACAAAAATTTGGAAATTGTCGAATGTCAAAATATTTCAAATTTGGTTAATTCATATTTTGGGGTAACTTGAGTGACCCAATTTTGTCAAATTAACGAGGGTACAGTGGACAAAGATTAAAGAAGGATCTCACCAAAAGAGGCAGCGGTTGTGTGAGAGAGGAGTGAAGGTGTATCCTCCACCATACTCAGGAACCTTGATGTCTTGCAGGGTGCTCTGAGCTGCTCCTAATAGAGAAACACTCACATGAGACCTACGCCGTGTACAGTCACTAAGGTGTAGTTATGGCTCATTACAGTGTAGTTATGGCTCACCACTACCACCACAACACCACTACCACCAGAAAAAGGTTAAGGATTTTTACATGTTTTCACAATAATTCTTAGTATCATAGAAGTACAGTATTTTAAAAGGAGACATTACTAGAATTATAATTTTTTTACTTTATATCTTCGACTAACCTTCAACCAGCATTGTTAGTTAGCAGGGCATGAAGAAGAGTAATGTCAAAACCTAACCTAACCCACGGCTCCATTATCTGACGGTGAAAAAATTTGTTTCTTTGTGAGCAAAAGTCGTAAAGGCTTGAAAATAAGTTAATGTAAGAGAACAGCACTGCCACCACCAGGAGTTGTCTGAGAACAGCACTGCCACCACCAGGAGTTGTCTGAGAACAGCACTGCCACCACCAGGAGTTGTCTGAGAACAGCACTGCAGGTTGTCTGAGAACAACACTCTGCCACCACCAGGAGTTGTCTGAGAACAGCACTGCCACCACCAGGAGTTGTCTGAGAACAGCACCACCACCAGGAGTTGCAGAACAGCTGCACCAGGGTCCGAGAACAGCACTGCCACCACCAAGTTGTCTGAGACAGCACTGCCACCACCAGGAGTTGTCTGAGACAACACTGCCACCACCAGGAGTTGTCTGAGAACAGCACTGCACCACCAGGGTTGTCTGAGAACAGCACTGCCACCACCAGGAGTTGTCCGAAGAACAGCACTGCCACCACCAGGAGTTGTCCGAGAACAGCACTGCCACCACCAGGGTTGTCTGAGAACAGCACTGCCACCACAGGGGTTGTCCGAGAACAGCACTGCCACCACCACCAGGAGTTGTCTGAGAACCACTGCCACCAGGAGGTTGTCCGAACAGCACTGCCACCACCAGGAGTTGTCGCACACCGGGTTGTCGAGAACAGCACTGCCACCACCAGGAGTTGTCCGAGACAGCACTGCCACAGAAGGAGTTGTCCGAGAACAGCACTGCCACCACAAGGGTTGTCCGTGTCATTCATTTTCTTCACACATGCTCTTATCCTTACAGTCAGTACAGATTATTAAAGAAAGGCAACTTCATATTTTAATTATAAGTTAATTACTGTATAAGTTTTTTCTCTACATAAATCACCTCTAGGAGGCGGGGCATGAAGGAAACACCAAACAAACCTTTGGAAACCTGACCTAACATTTCTTAACCTTTATGTCCTAACCCGACTCTCACACCCTCTCTCACTACATCCTCACTTGCCCTAAGACCTCCTCCTACAGGTCCCCAGCCGTTACCAACACCTCTTCCCTCCCAGACCAGATATCCCTCCTCCAGTCACAGGCCTGGCACTAGGGACCTGCCACTCTTTGCCATAAACAGATAAAATGTAGAACTCCCCACACACACTCATCATTCTCTCACTTTATGTAACTTGACAGACCTATGACCCTTCGAATTTCTACGCCCTAAATGTACGAGTCATAAAGGCAAGTATGAACTTTTCATACTTCCCTGTTGGGCGCTGTAAAACTCTGCGCTTCACCTTGCACAGGATGTAAGGGGGTGCCCAATAAACTAGCCCCCTCGGGGGCAAATCTGAATCTGAATCTTTATGTCCTAACACCATAATAATTATTACCTTGTTCATGTTTTCGGTTTTTTGTATGGGATGTTTTCTGTGTTCAGATGAGGAGTGATCCATAAACTCTTAAGTGATTCTTTACAAATTAGGAAAGGTTAGGTCAGGTTTTCAAAGGTTTGTTTGGTGTTATGTGTGGTATTTTACCCCACATTTTCCCTCTACTGTACTGCAAAGTCATGCCCACTTTAAATAAGTAATATTGTTGGTAATTTTATCAGTTAAAATATTCGAAAACTATAAGTTTTCGACAGAAACACAATACAGAGATCCCTCGGTTAATGAGTTACCTCCCATAAGATTCTTAATTTCGGTTAACGAGCAATCCCTCGGTTAACGAGTATCTTACGAGCCGACCTCAACATGTTTTAGCTTGCATTTGGCGGTCCACCAGCTGTAGTATTAGTCCGCCAATACAGTAATCGGTTCTAGGGCTTAAATTCCTTACTATTTTAGTATATATCAAGAAGTTTATACTATTCAATAATTTTAAAGTTTAATATTCAATTTTAGTCAATTTAACAATTATTGAACATAATTGAAGTAAGGTCACTAGTTTTATGCACGCCATCCAGCCTCTTAACACACCAAACAAGCGTTAGTCTCTCTGTTTTCAGTGGAGGTAACATCTTGCTTGAGACTCTCTTCAACTAAACGCTTTTTTTCTGTGTTTAGCCAAATTATTGGTCAATTTGAAATTTATTTTACATATTGACAATATATATTGCAGTGCAGTGTTGATTTAAAGAAAATATTCTTTATTTACAGCTAGTTTAAACTTAAAAAATCACGTGTTGACATTGTTTGAATCCATCATGGGGCCTAAGAGATCAAGAAAAGCGATTTCAATTCAAACCAAGCAGGAAATTATAATAAAAACATGAAGAAGGCATTAGAACAAATGCGCTATGCAAAGAATATGGCATGTCGACATCAACTGTGTCGACAATTCTTGCACAGAAAGACAAATTCAAGGAAGTGAAAGTGAGAGACAAATCTACCACAGTGTTTAAAGGTAGATACCTAAATGCAGAAACAGAGAGGTTAATTCTCATTTGGATTAGGGAAAAACAGATGAAAAGTGATTCAGTTTCAACTGAATTCATTTGTGAGAGAGCCAGGGAGATTTACGAACATTTAAAGACAGATCAACCTAGTTCTTCTGAAACTGAGTTTGAAGAGTTTAGGGCCAGCAAGGACTGGTTCGATAAATTTAAGAAAAGAAGTGACATTTACAGCGTTGTTAGGCATGGTGAGGCTGCCAGTGCAGATAAAGAAGGAGCTGAAAATTTTTTAGTGGAGTTCAAGGAACTGGTGGATGAAGAGAATTATCTTCCACAGCAAGTGTTCAATGTGGATGAAACCGGGCTGTTCTGGAAGAAAATGCCCAAAAGGACCTTCATCACCAGAGAAGAAGCCTCTTTACCCATGAAAGACCGTCTCACTCTATTGCTTGGTGACAATGTTTCAGGGGATTTCCGACTGAAGCCTATGCTTGTCTACCACTCTGAGAACCCCAGGGTGTTCAAGCAACAAAAAGTGGTAAGACGACAACTTGGAGTTTATTGGAAGTCCAACTGTAAGGCATGGGCTGTTGAGGTGTTTTGCCCTTCTGTCAAGAGCTACCTAACCACCAATAAACTCCCTTTAAAGGCTCTTCTCCTCATGGATAATGCCCCTGGTCATGACCCTGAACTTGCCAGAACTTTGAGTCTCAATTTGACTTTGTCAAAGTGTTTTTTTGCCCCAACACTACATCAATCATGCAGCCAATGGACCAGAATGTGATCAGCAACTTCAAGAAGCTGTACATGAAAAAAATGTTCAGAAGGTGTCATCAGGCAACTTCCACTGATCCTGAACTAACACTGGCACAGTTCTGGAAGGCAAAGTTTAACATCCTGGAGGCTGTAAAATTGATAAGTGTCATCATGGCAAGAAGTCTCCAATAGATCCCTCAATTCTGCATGGAAAGCACTGTGGCCAACAGCAGTCCATGATTTTGGGGGATTTGAGGAAGAAGCGGAGTTGGACCAGGAGATTGTGTCCATTGGTCAGTCATTGGGCCTTGAAGTGGAGGAGGAGGATGTAGAAGAGCTTGTGATGTCTCATGAACAGGAACCTACTCCTGAAGACTTGAAACAACTGGATGAGATGTTAGAAACAGACAGTGGTGAGGAGGAAAAGGAAAGTGATGACCATATGTCTTCTTCAGACTTAAAAGATGTTGTTCACCACTGGGAGATGTCCAGGAAACTGGCTTCAAGGCACCCAGATGTGGAAACAACAGAACCTATTTTGTGTTATGTTGAGGACAAAGTGGTCTGCTTCTTCAAGAACCATCAGGAGAAATGCCCCACAACCAAAAATTTACAGGTTCTTCTAAAAGGCAGCGGGAGAAAGATGCCACCCCTCAGCCTTCCACTTCAAAAAGGAGAGAGGATTTTCCTGTTGGAGAATCTGTGAGTCCAGAGGTTCCTGACATTATTATGGAAGGTGACTCGCCTTCCAAGAAGACAGTAAAATGCTTCTCCTCCACCCCCACTTCTAATTCACATCAGCATCATCAACCAGGAACCTTCTACATACACCTCAAAGTAAGTGTACTTTACTGCATTTTTTTTTCTTTGTATGTAGTTTTTGGTGAGCTGGAACCAATTACCCAATATCCCATTGAAACAATGGATTCGGTTAACGAAAGACCCTCTGGAACGAACTGTGTTTGTTAACCGAGGGACCACTGTATATACAGTATACACAGCTCCTCCCCGACTTACGATGGGGTTAGGGACCCAAATCCAGGTCGTAAGTCGGAAATGCTTAAATAATACATAGAAAATCTAAAATGGTGTCTTTTTCTTCTCAGCACCACAAAACACCGACTTTTAAGCTTGCCAGCCATTTTAAAGTGAATTACAAACGAAAATTTTGTATGTGTACTGACTTTGGGACTGAAATAATTTAACAAAATTTTGGTATGATTAGGCAGGTCTAAGTCAAAATATATATATATATATATATATATATATATATATATATATATATATATATATATATATATATATATATATATATATATATATATATATATATATATATATATATATATATATATATATATATATATATATATATATATATATATATATATATATATATATATATATATATATATATATATATATATATATATATATACACCCTCCACCACACCACCGAAAAATGTCAATACGATTGAGTCCCGTAGTGATCGCTGTACTGACAATTCTTTGTAATTCACTTTAAATGGCTGGCAAGTCTAAAAGTCGGTGTTTGTG